AACCCAGAAGACAGAAATCTTCATACTCTGATGACGGAGGCAGTATGACCTCTGAAACGTTAGTAAACATCGACCAGACTACACGGCGCAACAACCCAGAAGACAGAAATCTTCATACTCTGATGACGGAGGCAGTATGACCTCTGAAACGTTAGTAAACATCGACCAGACTACACGGCGCAACAACCCAGAAGACAGAAATCTTCATACTCTGATGACGGAGGCAGTATGACCTCTGAAACGTTAGTAAACATCGACCAGACTACACGGCGCAACAACCCAGAAGACAGAAATCTTCATACTCTGATGACGGAGGCAGTATGACCTCTGAAACGTTAGTAAACATCGACCAGACTACACGGCGCAACAACCCAGAAGACAGAAATCTTCATACTCTGATGACGGAGGCAGTATGACCTCTGAAACGTTAGTAAACATCGACCAGACTACACGGCGCAACAACCCAGAAGACAGAAATCTTCATACTCTGATGACGGAGGCAGTATGACCTCTGAAACGTTAGTAAACATCGACCAGACTACACGGCGCAACAACCCAGAAGACAGAAATCTTCATACTCTGATGACGGAGGCAGTATGACCTCTGAAACGTTAGTAAACATCGACCAGACTACACGGCGCAACAACCCAGAAGACAGAAATCTTCATACTCTGATGACGGAGGCAGTATGACCTCTGAAACGTTAGTAAACATCGACCAGACTACACGGCGCAACAACCCAGAAGACAGAAATCTTCATACTCTGATGACGGAGGCAGTATGACCTCTGAAACGTTAGTAAACATCGACCAGACTACACGGCGCAACAACCCAGAAGACAGAAATCTTCATACTCTGATGACGGAGGCAGTATGACCTCTGAAACGTTAGTAAACATCGACCAGACTACACGGCGCAACAACCCAGAAGACAGAAATGTTCAAAATACAACGTGCCTTTAAAATTATGACTGGACAAATCTGTTAGATGTGGCCACTTGGAAGGAAGGCACGTAGATGAGAAAATCATGTTAAAATGGAACCTCGAAACAATTACGGTCTTCTGAGATGAATGTTATGAGCTATCGAATTCTGTGACTCTTACTTACTCGTAAATTTAAAGAATTTATTTTAGATAACGTTGATGAACCTTGGAATTCTGTAACTGTTGCGTCTTTAAAGAACGAGCACGTACACGACAGACGCCCTGAGGTGCATTGTCCCACGCTAGTTGCTGGGCTCACAAGACACGTACTATTTTTTAGTAGGCCGTGGTCACTTCAATGATTACAGTTGTGCACTAAATGTCTGGATGAAACGCTAATGTTCCATTACAAGACGGTCCTGAACTGCTCGTTTATATAGAACTTAGGACAGTCACGTCCTGTACGGAGAGGGTAATTGTAAAGGAAAGGTTGCAGAAAATTTAAAAATTCATATATTTTAAGGAGAATACCGTAATTATATTGTAGCTCCTTAATAATTTGTTGCGTCCGTGTCATTGGAAAGACAACGTGATGCAGACAGTATTTATGTCACACAGAATGTAATGGTTTTCAATATCACTCAGCGACAGTGATTCCAAAATGTCAAGTTTTGACTTAAAAGGTCGCCACCGCCCTTGGACCAAATTTCTCATGTTCACTATATTCTTAATTGAATCTGTACACTCTGAGAACTAATGCTGGAAACAATTTAACGTTATCACTTATGTATGTATGCATTGTTTACTTTATTTAGCTATACTTTTAGTTCCTTAAATTGTTTAACATCGAATTACAAGACAATTAGTGAATAATGAATTCTAAAGTATATGGAAGGAAGAGACCGTGCATTAGGAAGATTTTGCAAGAAGGTCCTATTGATACCAGGGGTTGCAGCAAATGGGGTAGCCGAGGTGAAACTGGGGAGAGACAGCAGGAGGAGCAAGGTTTTAGGATTGGTCACAAAATTTTGGTTAAGGATTTTGCAAATGGGCAGGGAGGATTTAGTAAGGGGATGCTACGACTGGCAGGTATGGAACTTGAAAATTGGGGGATGGGCTAAGGGGGTAAAAGAGGAATTAGAAAATTGGGGTTGGGGTATATTTGGCAGGATCCACAAGGAAGAAGTGTGGGCAGAACGTGTGAAATTTTAAAGGAGGGGTGCAACGCCATAGAACGACAGAACGTTTTTGCTAAAATTAGAGAAAATAGATCATTGGCGTTGTACGGGGAGATGAAATCAGGGCGGGGTAGACAGGGTTACATTGGTTGTTGTACAAGGGGGGGGAGGGAGGGGTGGGCATGGTTCAGAGCGGGTATTTGGAAGCTGAGAGGGATGAGGGGGGCATGGATGAAAGAATATGCCCTTTATGCGGGGCGGAAGAGAACGAGATTCACATACTATTAAAGTGTATGGAAACCGGGAGGTGGAGGGAACGGCTCCTGAGGAACAAGTGGTTCACCGTTGGTGAAGAGTTGGCCTTCAAGAAAATTTTAAGCTGTACGAATGACAGGAAGGTCAGGGATGTAGGGAACGTTCTGTACAAAGTAAGATGTAAAAGGCATCAAAATTAGGAATTTAGAACTGCCACTGGGATAGAAGGCACGAGAGCAATAAGAAAGAGTTATGTAAATAGTATTAGGGATTAAGGAATAGTCATGTAGAGTAGCATTAGTGAATAGTTGTAGTAAGAAGTAGTACTAATAGTGCTACGTATGTAAGGACTGTGGCCGTGAAAACTTGGTGTTAGGCGGCCACAGATCTCTATATATAGTTCTAAACCAAATATATTATACTATTATTATTATTATTATTATATGTTACTATCTTGGAATTTAACTTGAAGGACTGAGGAAAATCATGATAAATCTGAGTCGTGATAATGTCCATATCGATATCTGAATTCTAAACCCCGAGAATATGAAGCAGGAGTGCTAACCACTTAGCAGCTGAGATCGGTCTCCAGCGTGTTATTAACTTACAAAGGAACTATTTTATTTTTTTCATTTGTAGTGTTCTGTCTGACGACAGGTCCATATGAACAGGATCCTTCCCTCCTTTTCTCGGACTGGGACCTGTTCATATACGTTCTTGGCAGATGATCCAGAAGTGGTTTGCCATTGCCTTCTTCTGTGTGTGAATGGAGTAATTGTTGGGATGCCACGGAGAAACCGGGGAAGCCCCCGGAGGAAACCTCCGTGTTGCCTAGACCACGGCCTTGCCCAACACAAGTTATAAATTCGTGCACCGCCGGGAATCGAACCCGAGACCCCAGGATTACAAGGCCAGCGTTCTAACCGCTAGAAATTATTTCAGATACTACAGCCTGGCTTTACACAATTCTGAGTCGGTTCCACCTGGCTCACATTGTCAGAGGCTTTTTTCCCAAAGAATCCATCTTAATGTATTTATTTCATCTCCTTTCAGGTCACCCAGTGTTGTGTAGTGGTTAGCGTTAATTCCTTGCATTCTGATGTGCCGAGTTCTAGTTTTGTCTGTTAAATCAGCTGCCCTAACATTTTTCTTGACTTTCTTTACTGCATCCATAAATATCGTAAGCTAATAGACGTTATCTTAAACTAGGTCATCAGTCCTGCTTTCCACATAGTACCTAACGAAATATTTATAGTGACACTTCATATCGATTTGATAGAATTAACGCTGTTTATAAAGTATCTTTAAATAAGCTAAGAATCATTATCGATTTTCGAAGTTCTCGCTGTCTAGGAGATTTTGAGGCAAAAGTTCTCATTTATTAAATACGTATCGGGCTACCAGTCGTGTACGGTGTTAAAGGTATTCTGAGGACATGGACAAAAATGGTTCTCGAAACGTTGTTGTGTTCTTCGTTAAGCCACCTTACATGACTGGTAGCCCGAGAAGGCTCTCCACTTATCGAAGGCTATTTCCCAGGAATAAAGCTGTCGGAAAAAAAGATCACCATTCCCTCGATTTAGCGCCAAAGTAACATTTACCGCCACTCCCCCGTGCATCGTAATGGCGTAGTGCCACATACAATTGACTTGTGTTTTATTAATGGGCTCATGCTGGAATCCACGTGATTTTAAACCCGAAAATTAAAAAAGTTTATCCCGAAAATATTTTATATTAAATATGACTTGACAGAAGATGATAATAATTTGAATGATTTTGTACCTATTTTAATTCTCGTATTATAGAACATTTAAAATAAAATGTTATTGTTCATGATAATTCTGGAAGAGAATGGAAATCTAAACTCTAAGAAAGATTAAATAATATGTGAACATTTTAGCAAGAAGTTCCTCTTATAAAACCTACCTTAACATTGTAGTTGCTTTAGTTTTACAAGTCTTGTATCGTTAATGCTGAACTTATGTAATGAAGGCTACAGTAACCGAAAACAATTAAACTAAATTTAGCTCATGGGTCAGCTTGCCGGACTCGTGGATACATTCTTATACAATAGAATCCTTCTCGATTCAGAATTTGTTTAATTTTTGCAATTGTAAATGCGTTACAGATTATGATGATGATAATGATAGCTGGTAGTGGTGGTAATATTAGTGTCTGTAGCAGTAGCAGTAGTCGGCGTTCATTTTGAGGGGAGACGTGTTATTCCACTTCCATTGATATTGGTTCGCATTAAATCTACCTGCAGACAGTACGTACAACCTAACTCCATTAATTCAGGAGTTGTCACTCTGAAACTGAAAGTTAAATATACAACTTATTCAGGAGCCATGTTATTTTATATCCTACAAGAACGTACATTAAGTTAGTTGCATAATTTCCGTATTAATATACGTAATTTTAGTATCCAGTATTAAGAGGCGCTGGTGTCGTTTCACCATACAAATTTCTGTGCCCACCGTGCTATTGTAATCTCTTGTAGGGAACTGAAAGTTACAAGGTTCGGGTGGGGTATATTTTCAGAACATTCACACCAATTTCCTTGAAAATCGGTCCACCTGTTCAGAAGACAGAATGAGTAATGCAACATTTATACTGCATCTGTTAGAAAATAAAATGACGTAATGGTATTCCAGTCCGCTGATGGTATATGATTTGTATGCGATCTTTATTAGTATATGCACTTGTATTAAATATTACAGCATTAAATAATATAAAACAGTTATAAAAACACGATTACAAAGTGTAAGTTACAAAGACAAGTTAGTAGAATCTTATGTACATAATTGAGTATTGTTCGTACAGTAATATGTTACAAAAAGTTATAAAATATAAATATTTTAATGTCCATTTTTCCTGAAAAGAAAGAAGTTTCGTTGTTTATTATTTAACGAAATTCCACACCATAAAATGTTAAGGAACTCCATCAGTTGTTAATTAATAGAAATTATCTGGGTTCTAAAATGATTCATGTCGTAAATTGACTCTTTTAAATATTACGACCTGAGTATTTGTTTCTTATAATTCATATATATTCAGTATTCTAATTAACTTGGGCTCCTTAATATGGGAAACAGTAAGAGTCTATTATAACTCTGCATGAAACAATTCAATTTGTTCCTTCGAATTGCAATGATAATCAGAAAATGGTAACAATTTAGACAATCACGTGAACAGAACATGTTCCTGTACATTGTTATTCTTATGTACGTTGTCTCCTGTCTACATAGTATCGAAAGAAGTATCGATTTACAGACCGTGGAGGTCTAATTTCTTCAAAATAAAAATTTAACTTTTTGAAATCAAGTTCTCCGCAGGCCGAATGCCAACAAGAAACGCAATTGATCAATGTTTTGCAGCGCATCGATAGGTAAGGGCATTATTTTCAAAACTGAGAACAGAAAATAATTTAATATTTAGCAGCGGATTTCAGTGCATTGTACGACACGTGTTTGCCGTTAACTTGCAGATTCTTCGTGGACGTTAATGAACATTGAAGCATGTTAGTTTTCTCTGCCTCTAAAAGATCTCGTCTTTCGAATATTAATTAGTGTTTCTCAAACTGTGATACGCGTGCGGTTCCGACGTGCGAGCACACTAAGGCTGTTACGCTGGCTCTGTAATAAAACCAGTCTCGCATTTTATATTTTAAAACTTTCTGAAAGTCTGTGTTGAAATCATATTTGTTCTTGAATAATTTATATCACTCTGTTTACGAGAAAAAAGTTTTAATTTATCGGTAACTGATTTGTTTGAGACATAATGGTTTGTAGAACAAAGTACAAGTCTTAATGTAGCAGGTCCGAAGTATATGAAACCGGATTACAACGCAAAACACGTTCCAGAACTTCAGACATCGACTTATATCTAGAGTTTTCAAAATAAACGAGATCCCTTCCAGTGTTTCGTATGACATAGCAGGTCGCCGACCCTAGAATTTGTTGGCGAAGAAAGGTGGGGGAGAGCCGAATCTGGCCTCCTCGACCTGTCGTTGGACAGCCTTGATTATGGCCGGGTGTATATTCGGGCCGACGGGCTGGTAGCCGAAACTGTCGGCCACGTAGTTGACACTGACTGGGGTTCCGTCGGGCGCTGTGTAGAGGTAGGATCCCTGGACAGCAGTTCCTTCCACCGGAGTACCAGTGTTCTCGATGGCGCCTACCTCGTGACGCTCACTGCCGTCTCCTGTCACATAACTACAAGAAAACACGACCATTCCAAGTGATTAAGGTCTGTCTAGGTGAACTTTTCAGTTTATCACGGCGATGAGTTTAAAGACCACTGTATTCTATGATGTTGCGCCGTGTAGTCTACTTAAAATTGATATAGGATTTGAGACTTTCGTGGCGAGTACAGTCAATAAAATTTTCTCGGGCAATCAGCCGCGTCAACTGCGTCGCATCAGAACGCTAATGATGGGGACAGATTTGGTTCCCGAAACGTCGGTTTACTACGGTAACCAGTTGACGCGGCTGATTGCCCGAGAATATTTTATTTATTTAAAATTGATCGGCATTCAGAGGTCTCTACTGCCCTCACCATCTTCTCTCATAATGCACAGTAAAACTTCAAGTCTAGTTAACCCAACCGCATAGCCAGTGGTAAATTAGACGAGGCGTGGAGCTAACCCCTTATCTCCTTCTAGTGTCGAGGTCATGAAAGGATAAAGCTATACCTCCATTTCCCACAAACCTTCATGGCGTTAGGTAAGTGGAAAAATTTAATTACCTTAAGTACATTTTAGACGTTATAGCAAGGTACGTGTATCGAGTGCATTATAACATCAACAACGCAGTAAATAAAAATAAAAAATTTTCTCGGAAAAGTCGTGTTTAAAACGGCTCAGGGAAAAACCCAGCCGAGGGCATTTTTTAAATTAAAGAGCCTGTAAACGTAGCTAACCACTCACCACCGTCTGATTCTGAGGTTAAGAACTCTTAAAGCCTTTATCTACACGCCCCACACACGCCATCATAACATTGTTCTCAAGAACAAGAATAGCTTCACTTATGCATTTTTAAATTTATATATATTGTCCTGAATACTCATAAGAACCAATATTTATAATGTAGAAGTAACGAATTTTCTTTCTGAAAGGAATCAGATTTACTGCAAAGATGAATTTCTAATATAAAACGGTGGTCTAGCGGTCAGAACACTAGCCTTGTAAGCCTGGGGTCCCGGGTTCAATTCCCGGTGGTGCTCAAATTTATAACTTGTGTTGGGCAAGGCCGTGGTCTAAGCATCACGGAGTTTTCCGCTTCCCCGGTTTCTCCGTGGCATCCCAACAATTACTCCACTCACACACAGAAGAAGGCAATGGCAAACCACTTCTGATCATCTCTGCCAAAAATGTATATATGTATGAGCAGGTCCCTGACAACCTGAAGAGGTTGGAAGGATACTGTTCATAATATATGGACCTGTCGTCAGACAGAACACTACAAATAAAACATAGTTGAAATCCCGGAGCACCGCCTATTCTGTTTGATATTTTCGTGGTTTTCCACAGTCACAACAGTCGAGTTCGATAAACAAGTCACGAGTGCGTGTTACCCTACTGTTTCCTTATTCAACATTTGTATTCGTCACCAGAAGTAATTCCTCAGTTTGATACAACATCGTTAAATACGATACTTTACGTGTACGGTCCCTCTCTTCAGATGTTGGGGATTATCTTTCATTTGTGGTCTGTGAAACGACGCTATCATAAACACAGGCTGTATGGAATCAAATGACTTGATTATTGATTAATAATAAATTGGATAAGGCTGTAGAAGAAAGCTACCGTGATTTGATTTAAGGTTCAATCCTTTGATTTACCATGAGAGTCTGAGAAAAACCACAAAACTTCAAGAGGTCTCTATATCTAAATTTGAACCCCGAACCTCCCGGGCGGATCAAAATCGGTTTGAGAAGCATTTGACTGTTACATGAATGAAGTCGGGAAAAGGCACAAAAAGGATGACAAACTGGTGGTATAGAAAATATCATTAGAAAGGGGATAAGGTGAAATTAGAAGGAATTACATGACATTTCACCTATTATTTTGATTAATATAGAATCGAAAATACTCTTCTGTTATCGGGTAACACGTTTTCGTGCTCACTTGAATATAAACCCGCGAGATGAGGAAGAAATCACGGAAGGAATTTATGACAATGCAACAAACTTACCGAACACCACAGACAGACAGACAGACAGACAGAAAACTAGCCGGGCGTGTAACTCACCACTGACCTCTATCCAGCACCGAGTTCCATAAGTCTTCACGGCATAGTGGTTGATTAAGCACAGGGATAAACTTCGACTTTGCCTCATATTCCTTTACATAACCTCATTTATGCTCCGAAGATTATCTTCTTATAAATTAAACAACCGTCAGCGTTTTCGAGTGGTCAGAAATCTTGCTTCGTATTCGAAAGGACCCGGGTACGTATTTTGGTCCAGAAACATTCTATACTGATTGAGATTCCCGTTAAGTAAATTCTGGATAATAAATTAAATTATATAACGACCATTTCCTTACACGTCATATCAAATTTATTATTCCCGAGCATCTTATTCGACGTTAAATATTGTGCTTGAAAGTGTTGTTAAATACACCGAAAAACAGCATGAAGATTAGCATATAAGTGACTTGCAGGCGTAATACATAAAAACAGCCATTTTAAGTGTGATACCTGCTGATATGACCACACGCGTTCATTAGTGATGCCTTGATTTTACTCTGAAGTAGCAAATTCTTGTGCTACAGGAAAGTATCATATAAATGAACAGACAGAGTCTAGCAGAGATATTGCGCAATATGGCAGACTTTTCAATCATTAATTTAAAAGTATACTTCGTTATTCGAGGATGGTTACATCACGAGACTACCAAATGAAAACGCATTCTCAGACTTCTCACGCCCACCTAACCTCTAATTGGCCTCTGCCACGTCTATCCGGCCAGATAATAACAGTCCAGGAAGTTCTAAAGTCCATTTACACTCAAATGTTAACTAGAGCGTATCAGTCTGTCTGTCTTGAATTTTTAAGCTTTCGAAGTAACAATGTATTCTGCTTGCTTTCACAGGTACATAGTAATTTAAATGTGCGAGATTAAAGTGTTACATTTATCAGAGGTGAAAAAATATGATAAATTGTACTTTTAAAACCTTTTAAAACACTTTCGTACGACTACATAAAGCAAACCAAGTAATTTATTAACATTTTCACGTAGGACAGATCAATAATCTGAATACAATCTATATTAACTTTTTAGAACACATTGGTAACTTATATTAACAGCCTACTTTTTACAATGAGTAACTCTGAATTTTCCCCACAGAATGTATTTATGGGTTTATTTGATTGTCGGAATAAACAGCGTTGATTTCCTTAAACAGCATTAAACAACTGATCTCGGTGATATAAACGCGTTGTGTTCTCTTTGAGGTAGGAACTGGAGTTGAAATATTATTTAGATGAACTTTGTGTTTAAAGCGGTTAAAATATATTATCTTATTAAAATACTCGCGTGTAGATGCACTAAATTTTTAACAAAATGGGAGAGTATCGATACTTCACGCAAGGAATCTGTCATATGTTCAGATCTTTACTTCAGTGGCCTGCACGTTGATTAGCATGTTGTATGTTTCTCTTCATAACAATAATATTAACTCAAATTTCTTCTTTTGGCATATTTTATTTTCCTTGCTACAAATTTCGGAATTTCTGGCTTCGAATCTCGACCCTGATTACAGCCAATGTGGTTGTACTTGATGATTTTAGTACTGCCTTCAAGCTGATAGTGAAATACTACCCCAAATGAAAAGGAGTAATTCGTTATCTGTTAAATAACTATCGTTTAACACTTTATAAAGCAAAAAGTTTAGAAAACGTCGTTAAATAATCGGTTTTCAAGTACAGTACTGCATAAGTAAAATAGAATCGATCTTCGATCACCTTCATAATCTTTATCAGCAGAAAGATCTTCTGATTGCATTTTGCCATGTGAAAGACATAATCTCTTTTTTTAACAACGCTTTTGTCAAATGCATGTTCCAGTCACTACCCAATTTATCCAACGAAATTAAATTGCGACCTGCTTGATGTATGTAACCGGTCTGATCCTGCTTACTAACGTACTTATTCTACATTGTGCTTTTCAGAGTAGTAAATTTGTGTACTTAAATATATATTCTATTTATTTGTTTATTTAAGTTCATATGTTTCCTTTGGTGCAGGAATTTGATGATGTGTCCGTACAAAGAATTCAGCTTGCAGATCGCTGATAAAGAACGCCCCGTAATACAGAATCATCCGGATTTGTTGCGGTAAGTTTTAATACCGAGACATGTATCTTGGGAAAGGGAAGGTCCGTGGTGAGACAAAAACTTAATCAACTTGACTACGAAGTCAGACTTGGCGGTCAGAGATGAAACCCATAACTTAGTAACTGCGCGTATGATAATGTGTTGCTTGGTCAGGACTATAGCACACCTCGTGGAAAGATTGTAGGTCAAATGGAGGAATGGTAGGTTATGTTTAACAAGGGAAGACTGATACCTCAGAGAGAAACCTGTTATATTTCCACCTCGTCCTCCACGAGTCTCACTTGAAGTTACCCAGGATTAACCCGTTCTTCCCCTGTGAGAAGCGAGAGTATTAAAATTATATAAGTGTTTTGCAGTATCCTAGATCCATTGGTTTTATAATTTGTTCTCCATCAGCCTGATTCACAACGTAATTGTTTTATCTCAACGGAGGGTGGACCGTCAAATTTTAATTGCTATAAAATTCACACCATTAAATTTGTGTTACTAGACAAATTTAAACCCCTTGTCTTTGAATGTATTTGTTACTTAAATTTTTGTGGTATCTTCCAAACCTCACTGGTGAAATTCAGTTGAGTAATGGATTGATTTGAGTGAGAATCAGCTACACTTTATATTGTCAGCTGTCAACGCATTGAATACAAACAGAGGCCTTCTGAGTTCTTTTCACGTTTATAGCGAGAACGCATTGTTATATGGTCATGTCCGCCCCATCGTCTCCTCTCCTAGGCCCAAATATCCTACTCAAACACCTGGAATCTTTGTTCCTTCCTCAGAGTGAGATACCATGTTTCGCACCCATACAAAACAACAGACAAAATTACTGTTTTGTGTATTGTAATCTTCAGGTTCTTATAAATCAGACGGGAAGACAAAATATTTTGAAATGAGAAGTAGCAAGCATTTATTATAGGAATTTATGACTCTGTATAACCATCGTTAACTGATATAAGAATAAAATATTGTGGTGTGTAGAGTCTACACATAATAATAATAATAATAATGTTACTAGACTGTACTTTTGTACCAATTAAGCGTAGTAACCAAAGAACTGTTAATGTTTTGTTCCTATTATACCAAATTTGGTAGCGCTTAAAATGCTTCTGCTAATAGACGACAATTCGTAATCCATAATTTAGTAGATTCCGTAGTTTACATAATAATATACTTCGAGCTGCAGTCAAATTCACGCACGACTCCCTTGTTTGAAATTAATTGTACATCGTCTAAAATGTGAAATTACCAGTTACATAATCCATTTGTTCTCTGTCTGCTCACGGTCTGGCATATACGTTATAGTCCAATACCTCCATATAGTCTACAAACCTGTTCAGTATTTATTTAAATTTTGTGTGTACATGCATTTGAAACTGTGTTCTTGTCAAACTTTTCTTATTTGTTTAATTGAACTTCAAAGTGTGGTTTTTAATAAATGTTATGTGTGAGGTCCTGAGTTTGAATTCTACCCGGGAAACGGTTGTAAACCGTAATATATTGTGGATGTGTTACTAGATCAGACACAAATTGAATGTTGATATCGGATAGGAAATTACAAGACACGTGTAACGAAGATCACTAACACATCTAGCATGAATGGGTTAGCCGCTGCAGATCTGTAAATGATTTTATTCAGTGAAAGAAAAATTTATATTATTTTAACTCAATCATCGCCCTGATGACGGAGGCAGTATGACCTCTGAAACGGTGGTAAACATCTACCATACTACACAGCGCAACAACCCAGAAGACAGAAATCTTCATACTCACCGCTGTGAAAATCTCAAATCATACAACAATTTTAATATTATCCGACTAAGATATATGTGATGCTGAGCAGTCACACCTATCTAATGCCGAGGTTGAGAATGGTAGGAGATCTCCCCCTGAGCGCCTACATGGCGCGTAACGAGAAGGCTTTAAACCAAGATGTATAATCTATTTTACCACATACATACTAAATGTCGTGACCAACTCTGTTACATTGAGTTGGTTTTTTTATCAGAATAATATTGAAATGTGCAAAGTATGAGTTGAGGTTCTCGTGGCGCCATCTTAAGATGGCTGCCTTCTAGGGTACATACCCTTGTAGTGCTTAAACCCTCATCACCAGCCTAATAATCATCAACATCATGGTGGCGACAGTAAGCTTATTTGAAATCAATAAAATCTTCTCGGGCGATCAGAACCCCGATGACGGGGACAGAGACCGTCCCTGAAACGTCGGTTTTATTGTTTAGCCATTTAACGCGGCTGATCGCCTGTGAAGATTTTATTGAGTTACGTCGCCGTGAAAATTTCAAATCTTATCTGAAATGTCGTTGAATATTTACCAGACTTATTATTATTATTTAGTGTTCTGTCTTACGACAGGTCCATTGCTATGCCCAAAAAGAGCTCTCCAGTTTTCCACACGATATTAAATCCCGTAAGACACGCATCTTCCAGTAGAAGTTTCTTCAACTTACTTGAAATTGTACGAGTTGTCAACAGGGTTCAGGTCGAAGTTTTCGCTGATAATGGGAATGTAACCCTGAGGCGTAAGGGGCAGGAACCTCGGAGAATAGTTTCTTCCTGGAAGGGGGACCTGTGGTGCAGTCAATGCGACGCCATTCAGCGCCATCAGCACTGCAGCGGCCACCAACTGAATTAAAAAATTTACAATATTAGTCTTTATTCTCCCTGTTGAAGTTGCTCGTGTTTGCTGGATCTGATTGTATTTTCATTGGATACGATTTTCCAAGAAAATTAACTTATGATCAGTCAGATCTTGGAGCCTCGTTCGTGTTAAATGCCTACTATATACATACGTGAAAGTATAGTAGATTCCGGTCAGTTGGGCCGTCGGTTAATCGGGCAGCCTTTTATTTGTGACAAATCTTACAGAAAAAACCTTTTTAACTCTTTACGTAGAACTTCGCATAATTGGGGCAGACGCTTAATTGGGCCAAAGTGTTCTAATCCCGACGTGGTCTAGCGGCTAGAACGCTGGCCTTGTAATCCTGGGTCTCGGGTTCGATTCCCGGCGGTGTCCGAATTTATAACTTGTGTTGGGCAAGGCCGTGGCCTAGGCATCACGGAGTTTTCCTACGGGGGCTTCCCCGGTTTCTCCGTGGCATCCCAACAATTACTCCATTCACACACAGAAGAAGGCAATGGCAAACCACTTCTGGATCATCTGCCAAGAACGTATATGAACAGATCCCAGTCCGAGAAAAGGATGGAAAGATCCTGTTCATATGGACCTGTCGTCAAACAGAACACTAAATAAAAAAACCTTACAAATAAAATATGTAAGAAGTCTGATTCACTTGTGACTTAAAATGTTGGGCTTACCACAAGCCCTTCTTTTAATATTATAGATGTTTTATTCATAATAGACGTCACACGATCTGTCGTAATCTAATTTCCTAACCTGCTTATAAAATATAAATGAACCTAAGAAAACAAGCAAGTAAACTTCTAACGAGTCTTTAAAATTATTGAAAAGGACACTACTGAGATTTCACTAATAAAGTTCAATTCAAATGTCACTTCCTTATTTCGGCTGGGCCTTCACCAAGAGCTGCAAGGTTTTTCCAGTGCAACTCCATAAGACAATAAAATCCACTTAGCCTACCTTCAGTACAGCAGTTCCTGCCGGGAGCACGGAAATGAGAGTTACGTTTAACTTTATCAGTGAACGCACTGTGTATGTCTTTCTATAGGTTTGACAATACATTTAGAAACAAATCTAAACATTGCCAATACCTAAGAAGAAAAATTATAACTTATTATCGGGTTGAGTTGCTTTTTAAAATTACAGTTGTCACTAAACAAATTTATAGTCTAATAAATTTTGCTTTGTGAGGAAATATGGTGGATCTGTGTACGTAAGCTAAGCGGAGACATTGTAATTAACTTAATTTACAAAATAATTTTCTCCTGATTGTGACGTACCGTTTGCCTAGCTTTAGTGACGGCGTACACGCATATTACCACACCTGCTTGTCATATGGGGCATTTTGTAAATAAATGAGTGTTTAATTGGAGACTAATGCAATTTTATGCACTTGAATTTACAAATGTGGGGAAAAAGTTCATTTAACAATGGAATCACGTTCTTTCTCAATTGCAAACTTCCTGTATCATACCAAAGTCCCAAACTAAAATTGCGTGCCGTAGAACATATATGTTAAAGCGGCGGATAATTTGACCAAGGGTATGATGTTAGCAAATTTGACTTATTCTGAAGAGTACTTTATACCAAAAATCAGGTGTATTTTGCAGTAGTAACGTTTCTTTAGCAGCATTGCGCTCAGATATAGGAAACTAATTCATTAATTAGGGAACAAATATTCTTCTTCTGTTATGCGCTTAACTCGTTAGCAAAATATTAATTATATGAATTAACTGTTTATTATAGGCCTATGCCTGTGCTCAGATTAAAATGTTTGTAATCCTAACATATTTGTATAATACAGTATAGAGGAACCAGGCCGACAGTAAATTATTAATGTTCTCCCTTATCGACGAATTGTATGAGCATGATTTAAGCGTTATAATTCTTTCATTCAAGATTTGGGTGCAAAATTAAATATAATTAATACGATACATTCAGAAAATAAGAAGATGTGAAATATTATTTTTGTCTTAAGTGAATAGACAGATATCATATAGGATTTGAGACTTTCGCGGCGAGTACAATCAATAAAATCCTCTCGGGCAATCAGCCGCGTTAACTGGTTACCGTAGTAAACCAGTTAACGCGGCTGATTGCCCGAGAAGATTTTATAGATAGATATCATGTTCGGAAATTTTATACAAAGCTTTTAATGCTTAATATAGTATGTTTATTGAAAAATGATCAGTTGCTTCGAATAGACTGAGTTTGTTTATCGCAATGCATCTTGAGAGAGAGGAATATTGTGTCATGGAGAAACTGCATTTGAAAATCTGTAATATGTTTATGGAATTTAGCAACATAAACTTTTAATATGAAACACCCTTCCTTTTGAATGACACACATTACGTACTTTCAGAATGCTTATGACCTTGTTTTTTTGTCTTTCTACGAACGGACATGTTTCATAAACATTTTCTCGTTTAATTTGTAATTGTGCGTTTCATAACACACAAACAAGGAGGAAATTACCAAACTAAAAGATATACAGTAGATTCCAGTTAATTGGGCCATCGGGTAATCGGGGCAGCCGCTTAATTGGGCAAACGAGTTCTAGACCCGATGTGTCCCAATTAACCGGAATCCACTGTATTTCCAATTTTCATTCCTCCGATTACAAACAATATTTTACCGGCCCATAATGCAAATAGTACGTACTTTGAATTTCATGTTTATGCCATTAAATTGTATAAATTATTTGCATATAAAACCCAAATTAATAAAAACTTAGCGATAGGGTTGATTATTTAATTGTCCTGGGTTCGTTATTTTATAATGGTTTTTGATGTTTTGTTACCACGTATGCAAAGCAACTAATAATTAAAACCTAAAGGTTTTCCTTCCATCTTGAAAAAGTTGATTTGTTATCTACCTTTATAAAATGCATATTAATAATCAGTCAAAACAAAATACATTTTACATCTGTGCGTAATTTAATAGTCAAATTTTAGTCACATACTGTAATAATAAGGGGCAGAAAATATTTAACAGCCTTTGTTACTTCAAATCCACAATCGAATATTTCCGTCTTTTAGAACAATATTCATCGGATATAATGTTAAGGATTAATGAAAGTAGTAAAACAAATTTATTACACTTTCACTAAAATCAGTTGTAGATTGTTTTTCTGTGGGTTATATTTGACTCATTTTAATCTACAATTTCACAGCCTGAAGGCACTGTGTAATAACACTTTTTTGTGTATGGCCTAACATTATCAAAAATAAATATTTCACATCAATTCTTAAAATTTACTAAAAGTACATTAATATAAATTTAACATTTTACACTTACCATATTCATGATTGAACTGTTCTAAAATATATTTCGAACACAGAATATTTTAAACGTCGTTTCCTACGTGATCTTCAAAACGAATCTGTTACAATTGACACGTATCCTGGGTATTTATAACAGAAAGCAGGGCAAATTAATATGGTTGTATAAACGCATTAGGGAATCCTTTTATTTTGTAATACTTGCCCCTACCCAGTCTCCCCCCTCTATTTTAGACGTTTGCAGAGAGAAGGAAATAATTATACGAGTTAACTTCCATGTTTCATGACCGCCGTATCAGGATCGCATCTTCTGAGTAGAGTGGGAGCTGTAAAGAGGGGAGTATGAGAAAATATATATCCATGGAACAGTTTCCCCTAATTTGTAGGCTACTGCCCTACATCTCCGTTACAGTCATTGAGTACATACTCACATTACTACAATTATTTTCCATTGTGTCACCTCCCACGTAGTAACCAATATGCGTGGTTCTGGGTTCGCTGATTACAGATGTCAGTCATCTCATCACTTTGCCTATGGGCAGGTTTACCAACATTGCAGCTCGTCTAGGTAGCAATTCACTTCCCGTTTCATTACTGTTAAATAAAACGCAGCTGTAACAGGCACTTCGATGTCCATCAGTCAGTTGTTCTACCTCATATAGTTTACGTTTTGAATGGCCGATTTTCTTCTAGAGCGTAACGGACGTCTCGTTTATTTTCATAAGATTTCCTACTCGAACCTTAGGAACTATAATTAGAGGTTCTTCACGATTTCTCAGTACTTAAGACTTAAGTATACATAAACAGTTGCAATATCCTATTCTGTCTTTATGACACTGTGTGGACATGTCAGTAAAATAGGATTGATTTTTTTTAAATTTATCGACACTGTTTCAATTTGTGCCTTTATTCAGCATAAAATATAATGGGAAGTTGATGTTAAATAGTAAATAAGTTAAGAATTTAGAGGTACGTGTTGGATTTGAGTTAGTGTCCTGATGACGAAGACAGCAGGGACCTCTAAAACGTTGGTAAACTTCTACCAGACTACTCAGTGCTACAACCGAGCAGGCAGCCAACTTAGCTGGATGTTATTTGCATAATTTAGTCTTGATAGGAGATATAGCTGTGTCTTATCGTAATTGAAAATCGTTTCAATCATAAAAGAGTGTTGCTGTTTTCGAGCGTGGAGTCGAGAGGGAGAGTCCAACGATCCTTCCACAGAGAGGCTCTGATTCACAACGAACAAGTTAGTTTCGCGGCTGCGCTGTCTAGAGAACATCACTGCGGACATCATGCATCGAAGATAAAACACTACGTATATTTCTAGATTTGCCAGGTGGCCGGTTAGGGATGAGGCCTGTAGTTATTTTAGTTTAATCCAGCGATAAAATTGTTACGATCAGGCCAGTTTTAATTATTCATACTGAGTTTGACCTAATGCGGGAGGTTGATGTTTTATATAGCCCATTAAATGTCTAATAAGAAAACTAAAAAGGAAATATGATGGGGAAAAAATTAGTGAATTCGTAATCTATTATTGAGACACACTAACTGACTTTGTTTTAATACATAGCTGTTTAGTAAATAATTAAAGTTCCTGATATATTATTTAACGCCACTATATCATCTCGATTGGTTATATAGCGTATGTTAAGAAACTGTACGATACAGATTTGAATAACGTTTTCCGATATTACGCTACATTGCATAAACATTGTAAAGAGCTGAGTTTTTTTTATTTATCGGAAATTTTTCGCAGCTGTGTAGATACAGTTAAGAAACTACTTCAAAATTGTATCTCAGCAGTCGAAATGTATTTCCGTCAAAGCTGAAACACTTGCAGAAATTAAATTATTGTTATATTGTGATCCTAGAAAGGTTGGAGAGAAAAGTAGTCCCTGCCAAATTTAATTTGTTAGTCCGTAATCTGCGCGAAAAAACTGACAAATAACAAAAAAATTGTTGACAAGATGGCGTGGCCAGGTCAAAGTTACTGTTCGTATAAACCCAAACTGGTCACGAAATAGTCGCGCTTCTCCACCACTAGTTTGGATTTGTCTTACTTGGTTAGGGGGCCAAGGCTGAATGTTACTGAAATTTAATCTGTTTTGGCTATTTTTCTATCAGACTTTCTTGGACTGAATTTATTATATATATACCGTCTGACTGTTAAAATCAAAATTAATCCGAATTAACACCGACATACATTTCGTAGAATACAGTTGATCCACAATATGTTTCGCTTGCATTCACATGAGTGGCATATACTGTTTTACAGCTTATCACAAATAAGCCCGTTTCATGTTAACAATTCTATGACTAGCATCATGATATAGATGTCTTCCAAAATTTTTGATTAACAGAATATTTCTGAGAGATTTTTAAAATGTAATTATTCTCCACATAATATGCTGATTTGTGCTCTCAATTTATCCTGACGTTAATTAACGATAAGACGATAAATATGTAAGAGGAATTGTGATGGGTTGGGGAGAAAACGGGAGTGGCCTATTTCAAAGCATTTCACCCGTATTTGCTTCGAATGGAAGGCTAAAATCGAACTAAATCAAGATATCAGCAAGTATCTGAAACCGGGTACCTGTATTTGAACTTCGACACAGTGCAACTCCCGGACAGCCACTGAAAAGCGTTCGACGGTGTGGACATATCCAACCATGTGAATACGTGTTGTAAGAATGGACAGAAAAGGAGAACCCACATCTGTAACAGAGATGTCGCAATAAACCCCTTAGACCGTTTTGCAATTAAGTAAAAATTAAAGAAATTATGTTTATAGTTCACCTAGTTCTATAACATTTTATTTTATTTTGAATTTGCAAAATATTGTTTTCTTGTGGTTATTCTAAATGAAAACATATATAGTAGCAAGAGTTAAAAACAATGTGTGATGGCAGTTAGCGTTCAAAGAAACATGTATCCAAAGATCAAATATTCCAAAGTTGTAATGAATTTGCACTTTTTTAATATGTTTTATTCATAGAAAAATACCTTTAGCATGACACCTCCAGTCTGTAATCTATGAGTTCCAACTAAATCACTACGAAGTTTGTTGTGCTGACAGCAAACTTGTTGAACTTAACAGCACAGGAATGTAACTTACAGCAAATATCACTTCTGTGTTATCGTTCTGTTTCAAGTGTAAGCGAATAAACATCCTACGTAATAACTCTCATTTAAGAGTGAGTTACGACATAACGGAACTGTTTATCTGAGATATGTATGTGTTGATTTATTAATGCATTTGATGAATTCCGATTCGTAGTCGCCATTTCACCCTGTCCATCCATTGTCTTTCTTCCTTTCATCTCCCGACCAGTTTATCCTAGATTCCAATCATCCATCTGTTATCAACTACCTAGGATACGTAGGTCGGTATGTATGTATATACACTCCACACACAAACACCTGCGAACTGAATGAAGCCTACCTCTGTCTGAAGTCCTCACAATATATCTGCATAATTTATTCTCTCGGAACTAATTTTAATTTTAGACGGGCCATAAAACGTACCTACTCTTAAACCCTGACAGTTTTAAATGAATAGAAGCTAAATGTTCTGATAATCTAAAACATTTGCTGTAATTAACCTCGATTAGGTCTACTTCTTACTACTGATATTGAAATAATATAAAATCAACTGTGAGACCTATACAGGAATGGAAAGTTGTAAACGTTGGAGTACAGCGGCCTTGCAATGGTGTTCTATAGCCACATCACGTAAGCCACTGTATCACTAATGTGACCCGAGGTCTCTTGCCTAACCCTGTAGAAAAAAACGCGACACACATGCACGGGCCCATAAGGCGTTCTTCACTCACGCCGCACCGTAAAGAACGCCAATAAACGGATATCATGTTTCCCGGAAGGCAGCAGAAGACACAAGAAGTGTAATCTGTGCCAAGTTTAATGCATGAGTTCTAGAATATATGCCGCTAGAAGGAAATGCAATCTAGATGAAACTAAACAAGTGAGCGTGATAGTAGGAGGTGGATTAAACTGGCTGAAGATTACGCTAAGAGATGGCTTTTCATATCACGAAGAATGAGATGGCGGGACAAGAGGTGTGCACCGGGTGTTGGTTTGGAAGCCTGGGGGGAAGAGACCACTGGGGAGACCTAGACGTAGATGGGAGGATAATGTCAGGCGGGATCTATGGGAGGTAGGAGTTGAGGGAGACTGGATTTTGTTGGCCCAGGACAGGGTCCGGTGGAGGGCTTTGGTTAATTCGGTGATGAACCTTCGGGTTCTGTAAGCCATCTTGTTAGTTAGGTAGTTAGTTAGATGGGCTTTCGTATAGGCGGTGTTGAGCCCCCGGGTTCTGACACCAGATGATCATTTAATTCGTTTGTTGTCGCGGTTAATTATTGAAGTTACAACTACTTTTCTCTATAACTTATTGCGAATTTCCTTACAAAAATTGTGTGTAGTCTACTTTAAAATATATGTAACGGATAAACTTCGTATTATAATCTGATGTGTGTGGTAAAAAGGGATGGCTACTAGTCACATATGTTACAGGATGTCACTTATGTGTAACAAATTATCGATTTCATTCCTTCGTCGCCATGGTAACCATAGATCTTTCTACTAGACTTTACCTGTTTAGGCCTTTGTTGTGTCCTTTTTGGAAAAAGGATTCTCAGTTTCCCAGATATACAATTTATGTTAATTGTGTACACCACTTATTTATTTTAAGGTAAGCTTGCGAACACGCCATGGTAGTCCTAGATTCTCTGAGATCACCGTTCCAAATTTATCAGCGATCCAAGTATCGAAGCTGATGTTTCCACAAGGCAGTGGAAGAATATCCATCCCCCTCGGTGGACAAGTGGCAGTGGGCTGGTCACTCACTACTCACAAATGCGCACTTCAAAGACTAAGAAACCTCCGAAGAGAGGTGGCCAAGACCGGAAGAAATACGAGGTGCGATCGGAAAGTTTCAAGACTGCGCCTATAAAAAAAACCGTACACTTATCTCAGGTATTAAATTCATCCATCACCCTCGAAGTAGTTCCCCCTGGGAGTGAACACAACGATTCCAGCGCCGCTGCCAAGCCTGGAAGCATCCCTGGAAATCTTTCTTTGTCAGCCTGTCAAGCACCATCTGCGATTCTGCCTGAATCTCTTCTATCGTCTCAAATCTCCTTCCCTTTAGCTGAATTTTCATCTTTGGGAAGAGGAAGAAGTCACACGGAGCTAAATCCGGCGAATAAGGAGGGTGCGGGATGACGGCCATGGTGTTTGAGGCCAAAAAAGTGGAAGAATATTAATCGGAAACGTCATACACAAAATGCATAGCAAATCCAGGTATTTTGTTGTTTTGTCGATGTCACTGTCGGCGTCTCTTTCAGACGATCACAGTAACACAAGGCCGAATAAATGTAAATACGTCGTCAATCGGGAAAAGATGACGAGTCTCAAACAGAAAAAGTTATTTGTATTTGCTACTCCAAATAATCTACCCATAAACCATTGTAACACAGCTTTAAATTACCCTATATATTACATATTATTTAAATAATAGTTGGTTATTCACCTTATTGCTTTATATAAGGACAAAGGCTATGTGAAATTAACAAATCATCACATTCAATTCACTTGCCTTAGAGTTAGAATTCATTCCTTTCGAGCGAGTACTTAAGCAGTGCTTTGCTGGAATAAACTTATTACATTTAAAAGTGTTCACTGATCTTTAACATTCTTAAAAGTTCAGTTCCGTAGTATTGGAAATCAATCTATCATGCGATAATGTAGCAGCCATTAGCAGCACAAATGGTTCCCGAGGGTGGTACTACTTTCTGCGGAACTTTTCCATGTATCTTTCTGCCATTTTGTTCTTTGATAAAAAATTATTTCCCCTCATGAAACCTTTCGGCAGATCCCACAATTTCTTAGTTCCGTATTTTGCCGCCGTAGTTTACGCAGTATATGCGCTTGATGGTTTAAACAATGTAAGCCTTCTGTGTTACTGATTCGTTCTCCTATTATTGTTTTAATAAAATGTAAAATCGGTTTTGTATTATTTTGATGTATTTATAGATTATTTGCTTTGAGAATTGTCCAATCGTTTAAAATGTCCCGAAGGTGTTCAACTGATGATGACATTTTATGAAGTTTTATCACCGCTTACATATTCTGATTCTGAAAATGGTAATAGTGTTACGGTGTTGAGTGAAGCCGAGGCTGGGTGTGTTGTGCGTCATGAAGCAAGTGCTGAAAACATAGAAATGAATCTGAATACGTAGATTAAAATACTTGTAATGAAAGAGGTGACATTTGTTGGCAAATATCTATCTTACCAGTAACCTATTGGAAAATATTTTTCTTGTAATTCCACTAACATTACGAGTTGTTAGATCAGAATATTGTGTGAAAAGTACGATTTGACGTTTACCCTGCGGTGAGTTTTAAGATGGCTGTCTTCAGTAATTGGAACAGTGAAAACCCCGGTTGATATTCCAATACAAATCAAATTAATCAGTGTGCCAGGATGCTGGATAACTGTCATGTCCGTGTCCCTACTATGGAGACACCCATTAAAAACAAAATATGAGATAAATTATATATCTTAAATCAAATGTTTATTTTCTTCTAATTGGCTTAAGGCTAGTACCTCTTATTTCTTCATGACATTTTAAATGAAAGTTAAGTGCAAGTGTTCCACGCTCTCACTTGGCTCATGTGCTATTGTTTCTGACCTCACATGGAAGTGGAGTACACTCCTCATAAGGCAATGATGATAACAAGTAACATCACTCGTGTTCTGACCTCACACGCTCATCGTGCCTTAACATCACACTGTCATTATATTCAACATACTTTGCTACAGTACGCAATGTCCCTCTCTCTATCTTGCACTAATTTTTATCCCAATTTTGTCCTTCCCTTGTTACAGTCCTGTAAGTTACGACATCTTTTGATGCCATCATGCCTGTCTTGGCCCCACCCTCATATCTTTTAAACAAAAGTCGTGATCTTCATGAAATTCGGTAATAACGTTACTGGACGCCGCATAATAGTCTGCCATCAACATTATCAACATGGTGGCCATGCGAATGTCTAAGGTTTTAATGACAGTGATGTCAATACTAACGTAGAATCATGAAATATTGTTTGCGATATGGCAGTCACGCTATTTTTTATGCCGATATCTGATGGAACTATTGGATATGTAGAGTGTGAAGTTTTTAAGAAGATTGGATTATAAACTTACAAAAAGTTTTATTATAAAACATTATTTTAAATTTTAACAATTACGAATATGGTGACGTTGCAAAGACTTGGTGATATTTTGGACCATTTTTATGCAGTGGGAAGGGGCTGTAATAAACGCTGATACGTATAAATAATAAAACATAGTTATTGTTAACATTGCCATATTATTTGAAGTGTACGCAGTACATCAGATGTAAATTTTTCGTAATTTATTTTCAATGGGATGGGAACTTATGTGCTCACGTGTTCGCATCTGCCTGTCTCTTTATCTAAATTAATTAGCTAACTAACGAGCACCTCATTAACTGTCTAGTACAGTGTGGGATAGCGTTCATTCATCATTTGTATGATACACTAGCCAACCGCTGTTTATTCAAATTTATTCAAAGAAATTCGAATTGAATGACAAGTGTATGTTATTATTCAGAAACATTATAACAATGTTAATTCTTCTAAATATCACCCGTCAGACGTTGTCCATCAACACTGATTCACTCGATTCGTAACACTTCATTACTCCCAGTAGCATGGAAGGTGTTACAACATTAATTTCTTCAAATATTTACTGCTCGGCAATCGATGAAAACTTTAAGGACTGTCGGCTTGTGATTTCTGTCTACAGAACTATTTGTAAAGGAAAATGTTTCAGACTATTTCGGCAGACGTAAGTAATCTCAAACAGAGAATTTCTAAAGAAATTAATGCCACATCACCGGCCATTTTATTTCAAATCTAAAACTTCTTGACGATGGTGAAGAGTCAATTGAATAAAAATTTCCTTGGATATTATCCATCGTCTAGTAAATATAAAACGTAAAAAACGA